CTTCTCCAGATTGTGTCAGGATCACTCCAGGAGGGGAGCCTGTGTCCATCTCCTCCAGGATCTCCAGCGGCAGCTGCAAAAGAGCCGGAGGGCTCCTCCACCCTGACCTTGTCCTCTTCTTCTTCCTCCTCCACTGGCACCTCCTGGCCATCCTGCACATCCCAGCACACATTGCCAGCGGATCCCAGCCCTCACGTGCTCCCAATGCACACCAGGGATCCACCCACCACTTTGCCCTCCTCTGCAGCCGGTCCCTTGGCTCGGGTGACCCTACTTGTGTGTCAACTTGGCTTGGATGTACCCCCACCCATGGCAGCCCTGCCTCTGACACACAGTGTCCCTTCTACCTGGGGGGCGGCGCTGCCCCCTGTAAACTGCCACCCAAGGCAAATGCCTTGTTTGCCTAATGGCAGATACGCCCCTGAACAAGTACTTCAATATAATCTTTCAGAAATGACAAACGTAATCTCATGTTAACAAAAATAATATATAAACAGCGCAAATCAAAAAAACTCATTCAATATATGATATTATAAATCAAATATAAATATTGTGAAATAACTACTTTGATATAGTGTCCAAAAAATATTTTAACCACTTGCCGCCCAGCCACCGCATATAAACGAGAGAAACTGCATGCAGACACCTTTACATCTCAGTATCAGGAGATCTTTGCTTTGAGCGGTACCACAATTTATCTGTTTAACTTCATTGAATTACAAGTAGTCAACAATATTTATGGACCCCACTATTGCTAGCAGAAGAGAACGGACAATACAATATTAAGAACTTTAAACATCACTGAACTCAAGTTGCAATCTCTAGTAAAAGGGGCATCTACTTTTATAACGCCATTATTATTCAAATTAGGATACTTCTATGTATTTATGTCGGAGTATACATTTACATAATTCTCTTCATCCACCATTGCGGTGCCTTAGGCCTAGAGGAAGCTGATGAGTCAACAAGCCTTTTCTTCCCCCTCTTACGGCTGATATTGCAGTTTAATAGTTGACGTTGACTACTCATAACTGTATAATTTGTTAAAACATTGCTAACTTATTATTTCTATTTTTATGTGTTAACAGGGGTGTGTATATCATAAACCTGTTATTCTTGTGGTCTACTATTTGAACAAGACTAATATAGAGCTGTTACTAAAGAATTGTGAGTGTCAGAAGGCTTGCAAGGTCAGGGCAACCACTGGGGACAAGCATCAAGCGGATCTATCTCTCTCTCCTGAATTCCATCATCCAATCATTTGCAAGAAAATGCTGTTTATGTTTTTATTTTCCTTGCAAGTTATGGTTATTCTTTGCAAACTGAAATTTCAGCTCATTCACTAACACTGGGGTAAATTCCCATGCAAAGGGCTCCTTTCCTTGCAAAGTTAGCAGCCTATTAGTAAATCAACTCCAATATCTTATTCATTGTAGCTAATGGCTAGCAAGTAGATTTTATGGCTCTAGTTTTAAAGGTCCAAGTATCTGGATTTTTTAAATCTATATAGCTGCTTGCCTTTACAGATACCACTCCTGTCCTTTGAATCACTAGGAGGCCTAGCACCCCAACTGCCTCAATTTAGTACTCTGTACCTTTCCTATCCTGCCTCCACCTAACAATTGTACTTTTATCTTCTCCATCAGCTCATCCCCCACAGTTATTACCTTTAGTATCACTTGACCCTTCCTCTTAGATTGTAAACTCTGAGGAGCAGGACTCTCAGATTCCTTCTGCATTAAGTTGCATTGTAACTGTCCTGTCTGCCCTCATGTTGTAAAGTGCTGCACAAACTCTTTTCACTATATATATTCATTATAATAATAATACATGATTTATGTATTATTATTATAATAATAATAATACGTTTCATTTGGAATGAGCTGAGTGTACCTGGGTTAAGTTTCGGATACGTTTCTCGAACTTTACTTAAGTTCAGAAAATGATTTGGAACCCAACTGAAATCAGTGGGAGCCGAATCTTGTAAATCAGTAATGGCTATTTTTTTGGCTAACAGGCAGGGGATTGTCAAACAATTTGCATGGGCAGGTGGACACTGTCATGGTGGACATGTACCAAAGAAAAAAAAAAAAGGTTTGCAGGAGGAGCAATTTTAATAATGCTTAAAAAGATACATTAAAAATGCAATATTTCTTTAAATAACATACTTGGGGGTGACCTGAACCTGCCTGTGCAGTGGTGCATCTGTACAATGTATGCAACCTACTACAGCAGTGGTTCTCAACCTTCCTAATGCCACGACCCTTTAATACAGTTCCTCATGTTGTGGTGACCCCCAACCATAAAATTATTTACCCAGTAATTATAATTCATGAAGTATCGTTTTACCTCCAATACTGCTGCTTTCAACACAGTAGCTGCTTTCAACACAGTAGCTGCTTTCTACACAGTAGCTGCTCTTTACACATTGGAAATATGTGTTTTCCGATGGTCTTAGGTGACCCCTGTAAAAGGGTCGTTCGACCCCCAAAGGGGTCGCGACCCACAGGTTGAGAACCACTGTACTACAGCAAAGCTGACATTTACAAATTAAAAAATGCTGATTACATTGCCGGTAAATGAGAGTTTCCGGGAGCTTCATTTTGTTTGAAAACACATGGCCAGGGTTTCTCTTTATCTATACTAGATCCTTATCTTAGAAGATATTTTTAAATGGGGGACCACCCAACCACACAAAAAGAAAGTAAAAAAAACAGCATAGGAGGTTTTCCCCTTGAATAATTTCAAGGGGAAACCCCCAAAAAAAGTGTAGGGTCCCCCAAAATCCATACCAGACCCTTATTCAAGCATGCAGTCTGGATGGCCAGGAAAGGGGGGGGCAAGCATTCGGTTTCCCCCCTCATGATCCATACCATACCACATACTCTGAACATCAAAAGGGCACATTTTTTCTTGTTGATAAGGACAAGGGCTTCCTCCCCCTAACCTGGCCTAGTGATTGTGATGGTTTGTGGGTGTGTGGGGGGGGGTATCAGAATCTAGAAGCCACCTTTTAAGTAAGGGGGCCCCCCACACACTTTTAATAAAGGGGGGCCAGATACTGGCCTCTCCACATGAATGAATAAAGGGTACCCTTAATCTTTCCAAAAAATTTACATCATAAATTACACAATGTAGATCCTTGTCAATCATGATGAATGATGACTACCTGCAAAAGAAAAAACACTCCGATTCACTGAGATTCCCGATCCCAATTGCTTTTTGTAAATGTCAATATTCAAAAACGACCAGGACCTTACTTATCATTGAGAACTGCTATATCTGTTATAATGGATTCCCATTGGTGATGTGCAGATTGGTAGCATTTACCAGTTTTGTTCTCAGAGACTTTTGCTCTATGGACATATTGGATGATTTGCATTTTTTTTTTTCTTTTTCATATCTACTGGTGAAACTGTTTTTGTGATTGATGTATTTGAATGTAGCCAGGTCTTTTCTGATAGATCAGCTGCTGACCTCTTTTCTATTTAAACATGAATTGTACATCTCGATATATACTCTATACCTTTAACTATACAAAAAGATATGCTAAAGGTTTCTGAGAACAAGTATTTATAGCCTTAAGTATGCTCTAAAAGGCTTTTTTTTATCAGAAATTCCTTGGTGGACTTACCTTTATCTACTAAAGATGTGGCATTTAATATATTTCTTCTAACTAAAGAATGCAATACTGTATATATTAGAAAATATATTCACACGAGCTGGTCTTGGAATCTAGAATCAACATGTGCTGAGGTCAACTATTCATAGATGAAATTTAAAGGAGATCTAAAGTCACAGCATAAACTTTCCTTTGATAACATCAACATTGTAATTGCAACACAATCATTACTTATTTTTTGACATTTCTATAAGATTACATGGAAAAATTATTTTCATGTTGTGAGTTCTGCCTGTCTGACGGCCATCACTTCCAACGTCTTGGATTTCTTGCATTTTTGCAGCTTCTTCTCTGCTCATTCCTTTGGTTTACTTTCAAGGAACTATTTAACCCATGGTACATTGCTGCCTGCAAGCAGTAAAGATGCCGCCTGTGTTGTGTTTCCTGTACTGTGTCTCCCAAAACTCCTCCTTTTCAGCAGTTCTGCAATATAGTTGTAGTCCAGAAGGCAGGCTCTGTGAAATAAGTGACACAGTAGTGCAAATTCAAAAAGGTATACTATATATGGATTGTTGCATTAAAGAAAGTAAATTTGTGGGATTTCTTCAAAATGTAAGTATTCAAAGTTGAAGATACTTCCGGTTACTAGCAGTAGACAAGAAATATTTGATATTCAATGTGGAAATTAATATATTATTTAAATTTTTGGCCATAGATGCTTGAGGTGATTTGTAGCCGTATTAGTTCATTTGCGACAGAAACAATTGAGTACTGTCCGTGATACTTTTTTTATTTGCACTAAACATAATTTTTTGAGGACAAGCTTTCGGGGTATGTAGATGCCACTTTAAATGTTGATTTTGTGTTGATAGTAATGTGTGAAGGCAAATGTACCTGTATTTGTGACTACCATTGGCAGAGCTTCTGAAATTTATTCTGGTGCTGTAGTACAAAGGGCAGACATTGTGTCTTTCAAAATTCCAGAAGACATATGTAATTTACACACCTCTGGTCAAATAGCTAGTAAGGAATTTCAAGATTGTTTGGACATGTCATTTAAGTTTTCACCTTTCATACCCCCACCATATTCCAATCCATTCAACTCTGTGATCTATGGTTATAGAGCTCCTCCTCTTTTTCTTCACCAGTAGTTACCTACCATTCAGCATTTTTTAGGCTGATGATGGTGTAGCCTATATTGTTAAATATACTGAAATACAGACTCCTGTGCATCCACACAAACGGTAAGCACCGATTCTTTAATAACATGTTTGTGTCAAGCAAATGGCTTCAAAACCACAAAACTAGTGACTTTTTTGATAATACTTTGAGGGAGATTTACTAAAACTGGTGCACTCAGAACCTGGTGCACCTGTGCATTGTAGCCAATCAGCTTTCAACTTCAGCTTGTTTAGTTAAGCTTTGACAATAAAACCTAGAAGCTGATTGGTTTCTGATTGGCTGCACCAGATTTTGCACTCTCAAATTTCAGTTAATAACCCCCTTAGCCTATCTATAAGAAAATGATGGCAATTAACACAGAGTTCCTCATCACACACACTTCAATAGCTAGCTCTGCACAGAATTTAAATGCTCAAAAAAGAGTAGAGTGAAGCTCTGATTTTTGACCTCTACAACAAGGTTAGGTGGTCCCCCAAGAGGTAAGGGACACCTGAATTGAGAAATCCACATAAAACCAAAAACAGCATAAAATGTTTATCCTAAGAATCAATCATTCTTCATTGTCAATAATAATTTGATAACAGTCAATGCTTATCAGAGGCAAAAAATGGACTTCTGTTTCTGGTGCCGCATGGAGAGCAGGTGAAGAGACTGCGCTCCTGCCACCCTCCTCCACTGTGCCTCTCATATCCTGCCACGGCCAGAGGTTTCCCCATCTCCTTACCCGCCACCTCAGATGACCCCCATGGACCACTTTATGGAGTGGTCGCACACCCACTTGTCCTCCACCCCATGCCTGTCACAAGGGGACACAGCGGCGGTTGCAGCCAAAATGGCAGCCACAACTCACATGGCCATGGAGAACAGGTCAGCACCCCACAGCCACAACCCTCTCCAGCGCAGCCTCCAGACCCTGCCTCTCAAGCGGGCATAGCCCAAGCAGTGATGGCACTCCTCACACTCACCCTCACAGCTGCTGTGGATAATGCAGTCCTTAAAGGCCTAGATTAGCTCCACAAGGATTTCCATGTCCAGGCTCAGAGAATTACTCAAATGGAAGAATGAATCTCCTCCATTGAAGCTGACTCTGTGGCTGTATCTGCAGAGGTGGCAGACTCAAAGGGAGCTATAAGAAAAGATAGATGACCTTGAAAAAATGCTCACAGCGTAATAACTTGCGCATTATAGGCCTGCCTGAAACGTACACTCCCTCTGTGCTTGTCAATATCTGTTCCACATTCATTCTGGGAACTACTAAGCCTGTGTTTCCCCTGTTTGGATGAGCGAGCTCACCGTCTCGGCCCTCCATCAGATTCTCGCTCCACACCTAGGCCTGTGATAGTCTATTACTTGAACTATGCTGACAAGCAGGCCATTCTCCAAATATTCTGACAGGCACTCCACCTTGTCTGTAGATGACCATCAACTGTACCTATTCACTGACTACTCCATTGAGGTAATGCGCCAACGCAAGAACTTTTCTTCCATTTGCTCCACTCTCTACCGTAAACATATCAAATTCATTCTGGCATACCCTGCTGTTTTGCATATCCAACCTGCTGATGGAAATAGTCTCTCCTTTACCTCACCTTTGGAGGCGGAACACTTTCTTGCCACCACTCCTGAAATGGCAATGGATCAGGGAGAACATTCTTCCCCATCTTTCTTTCCCCCTTCGGGGAAAATTAGCACCCTTCAAAAATCAACTAAACCCTCAGAAACAGCCCTACAAGTGTATATGCTTTGATCGAGCAGAGGCCAAAAATGTCTTCCTCGCTAGGACCTGAATAATGTAGTAGCAAAATCAACTGGTCTCCTAAAGTATAAAAAGTATAAGCTCTGTCAGGAATAAAAAAAAGAAGGAGTTGTCACAATGAATGTCTAGTATACAGTATAATGTTGATTATAACATTAACTTTGCAGTTTTTAACAACCTTGAAATGCTTTACAAGCAGATCTTTCTTAGAAAAATAATTCTATGAATTCATGGTCTTTTATCATAAAACAATGAGAGCCTCAAAAGATACTAAAATATATCAAATTCAGAAGAAGACTGGAAGGAGCAGAATTACAGTTGTGTGTATGTCACTTGCTGTATATACAGATATACTACTTAGGTTTTTGACCTACTGTTTAGGCTTCACCAGAATTAGTCTTTTTTTTTTTACAGGATGCAGAACTTCATACTCAACCCCTAATCTGCCAACTACATACACAAAAAAACCCAAGTATCATCATACATTTCTGGGTCTTCAGAGGAGACCGTCCTAACTCTTAGATGGGTCTTAGCTTGGATGTTTCTCTGGGTCTTCAGATGAGACCCGCCGAGCTCTTAGCTAGGTCTAGGTCTGGGGGGTTTTCTGGGTATTCAGAGGTGACCCTCCCAACTCTTAGATGGGTCTAGGTCTGGGTGTTTTTCTGGGTCTTCAGAGAAGACCCTCCTAACTCTCAGCTAGGTCTAAGTCTGGATGTTTTTCTGGTTCTTCAGAAGAGATCCTCCTAACTCTTAGTTGGGTTTAGGTGTAGGTGTGCAACCTTCTGAGGGTCTGAAGGAGATATAGCCTGTTCTTATAACTGAAGGGCATATAGCCCAAGCCAGGTTTACCAGACTCATGACTAATGTGTAAGAACCAGGGTGGATCGAGCAGGGGATCATCATTGATCAACGTTTTTCATATTACTTGGTCAAGGTTTTCAATAGTAAGGAGTCAGTATTTTCCATAGTGATTGGTCAAGGTTTTCTGTATTAAGGAGTCAGTATTTTCCATAGCGATTTGTCAAGGTTTTCCATAGTGATTGGTCAAGATTTTCCATAGAAATTGGTCAAGGTTTTCCATAGTGATTGGTAAAGGTTTTCCATAGTGATTGGTCAAGATTTTCTATAGAAATTGGTCAAGGTTTTCCATAGTGGTATTTTCCATAGTGATCAAGGTTTTCCATATGTGTGTAAAACATGAACTGTGCATAGCAATAAAAAAATAAACAATGAAAATATTCTGTTTGTGTGTATGTGTGTGTATTGGTCAAATTGTTAACAGAGTAATTAGTCAAGATGTTCTATAGTGATTGGTCAAGGCTTTCCATAGTATTTGGTCAAAGTTTTCCATAGTGAATGGTCAAGATTTTCCATAATAATTGGTCCAGGTTTTCCAAAGTGATTAAGCAAGGTTTTCTTAACTGTCCAGTAATTTTTCTGCTGAATCAACATCAGCATCTAGACGTAGCACATAGATGAAACCAGATTAGAAGATGGTCATCTATAGGCACCCTAACACAAATCAGTCTAATGGTGGCCATACACACTTCGATAAAAGATCAAAATGATCATAACCATTTCTGATTGATTTCTCCCCATATGACTAATTGATGTGTAGTTGACAACCAATTCAATAAATATGCCATACATGGAGAAGTAGATTTTGACCAATTTTTGGAAGATAGTTATCAAAAGAATCTATGATTTCAACATATTCAGAATCTGATCCATGGAACTGTGATGCATATCAGTGCTGCTGATCGCTGCAACACGATCTCTAATTTTCAGCCCTGGCAGATCAACTCAATCCGATCAAATCCAATATAAATAAAGCCTATATTGATCGAAAAGGAAATAATGCATATTTGATTGTTTGCCAGTTTGATCATTTTGAGCAACTAGAACATCGATTTGATGATTCAATTTAAGAGTGTATGGCCACCATATAATCCCCAGCTTTTAGTATATGTTCAGCTCAGGAAGAAATGTATTTTAATAATTGTTTATAAAAAAGGCTGACAGTAATGTACCAATAAAAGATCCTTTTATATATTCATGTGACCTCACTATTACTCATTATTGCTCAAGCTTCATGTATGGCCTCAGCTGTTGTAAAGCACAGGATTCCTTTGTTTTCTTTCCTTGAATTTTCCAGTAAGAGACGTTTAATACAACCTTTGTATGCTTTAGGTTTGGAATTATGTGTGAATTCAGAGGTCAAAAGAAAACAGAATGATCACACCAAGATGTTTTTTCTTCCAAGCCACCTTAGATGCTTATTCATCCCACAAACTGAAGCCATTTCAATGTTATTCTGCAAAGTACAAGCTGCAAGGGTAACATTCCCTATGTTGCCATGACAATATTGACTCATTAAAGATGGAATTCAATATTCATCCCCCTGTTTTGTGAGATAGTAAGACTATGCAATGAAATAATACATATTATAGAATCAAGCCCAGTAAAATTTATTTTTTTTGCCACATTTATTTGGAAGTTATCTATGGTTCACAATGCAAGGTTTGCCAAAATATTATTATAAAATATTAAAAAAAAAAATGTAAATATATATATATATATATATATATATATATAGTTGGGGTTAGCTCAGGTTCGGGATCACCTTCCCTGGGGAAAAGGCAGCCCAGACGGCAGGTCTTTCCTAAAAATCTGACTTGTAGCCAGTTTTATTTAAAAGGTTGAATGTATCATAAACAAAACAGGACAGAAAATAAACCCTCGCCATCCAGGCACTAACTATACAGAGGAGATTCCTATCTCACAGGTGAAGGGCTTCTCCCTGTCACCAACAAAACAAAACGATGCAAACCTTTTCCTTTCTGGTACAAAGCAAACTCTTTCATCCACAGCTCTCTCAGGTATGGCTCCCTGAGTCCCAGGCCAAGAGAAACTTCTTGCTCCAGTCCTGCTTTATTTTATACCACCTGCTGGTGGTCTTCAGTGGACCACAAAATCTGGTCCTGAACCAAATCTGCCAAAGTGGCCTGGAAAACCCGGACTGGACTCCACCTTATGCAGGCCATACATGGGTCGAATTCCGAACAATTTTTCGTCCGAAAATCGAAAATGTTGTTCGCTCGATAATCCGATGGCGCCATCAATGATTTCGAAAATCAGCCTACCAGGTCATAAAGTTCACCCCATATAACAGGTGAAACTTCTATTCCTTCCAGGTCACGGCTCATGCGCATATTCTTTTTGGAAAAACGATCGTACAATTTGACCATCATTGAGTCGAAAATTGGTAATTTTTCAAAACATTTTCAACATGCCTGATCGTCGAAAAGGGGAGGAACCATGAAAATCGTCCGGTGCCATTGACCCACTAACAGAGTGAAAATTGGCTGATTATTCTTAGGTCCAATTTTTGGATGAAAAATCAGTGAAATTTCGACCCATGTATGGCTGGCATTAGTCTCCCAGAATGAACGCATGCGAGGTGACACATAGCGTCCTTTAATCACCTCACCTTTCAA